CATATTTTGGTGTTGCAACGAAACTAAATGAGGCTGATGTTAACACACACTGACTTGTTGGAACACCATATTGGATGGCCTCCGAGGTACTGATAATTGAAATGTGGCTATTAATTGTCTATCCTGTTACTTTTTCCCATGTTTTTGTGTTTGTTATTTTAGGTATATATTGGATGCTTTTCTTACATGTTAAATTATATTTCAGGTGATTGAAATGTCAGGGGTTTGTGCGGCTTCTGACATTTGGAGTGTTGGTTGTACTATATTTTTCTAGGAGAATCATTTTGGGTCGAGTGCAATTCCTTTGTTCTCTTTTCTGGTTAATGGTTGAGTGTAGGTTTTGATTATGCAGAAATTTGATCACATCAAATACGGATATATATTTGGTTTGGATAACCGATGTGATGTCGAAAAAGAGTGATTTTTAGATCTTGGTTGTTTACATCTTAGTTATGAATCTGATGAAATTGAAGGAATGCATCATAATTGTTCAGGTGCAGGATTAAAAAGGTTTGGTAGATTAGTTAACCAGGGTAGGGTTGTCGAGGACTGAGCTCTCATAAGCTTGGAGGATGAGATTAAGACTTCAAACTTCAACTGAACATGTGGTGCAGTAACAAAAATGACTTCCGTCGAAATAAAATCCTGATTAACACTGTTTAAGATGAAGCTCTCGAGGTCTTTGCTTTCATGTGTGTAAAGTGTGGTCGTCTTTATAAGTATTTTTAATGCCTTGGAATCATGTTGTTTTGAAGTCACGAGGTGTAAGGCTCTTTGTGGCTGCTCTCTGCTGGATAAAAGGTTTTGAAGTTATTGAGATTATTGTTTGTTCTGTTGTTCAAGATGTTCTTTACTTGTAGTTTTCGCTACTGCAAATTAGTTTGCCTCTACCATAGTGCGGTCTTGTTGTGATGTTCTTATGCTGGTTTTGGTTGATAATTAGCGTACAAGTGGTGTTAAATTAGTTTGTGTTTGCTTGTTACTGGTGGTGTCCTGTTTAAAGTTGTTGTCCTTGTGTGTGTCCAAGAGGTTTAAGGGTTGCTAGTGATTTGGGTTTAAAATCCCAGATTGTAATTCCTATGTAGTTTAGTTAAGTTTTATTCTCTTGTTGCTTGGATGTTATATGCTTTAGGTAGTTAGCAGATTAGTGTGTTTTATTATGCTCTGGTTCAAAGTACTCTTTTCCTCTAATTAGGTTTATATATATTTTTAATGAGGCTTTGAACTTGATTGATCTTTATTAATAAAATTTGACTTTTGTCGATAAAAAAAAAGTAACCAAAGTTACGTTCACGATAATTTCTATTAGATAGGTTTGTCAACTTTGAGATTTTAACAAACTTGTTAAGACAACATGATAAATCTCGAAACACATTTATTTGTTATTTCGATTTTCTCACAATTTCTGAATTATCTCGGATTAAGAAAGGTAGAAGAATGAGATAATAACATGTCTTAAGATTGTTGGAAAAAATTCATTAATCCAAGAATGAAATGAAAAATAATAATGATTGAAATATCATTATAAAATTAAAGAGAAAGAAAGAATTTACTTTGTCTTAAGATTGTTACGCAAAATAACAATTCGAGACAAAATCGAACATGAGAAAAATAAAATAGAAGAAATTAAAACTTCTTAAACACAAATAAAAAATAAATGAAAATAAAAACCTCTCAGTGAATGCGTCACATATGAACCGAAGCTAGTTTCTACAATGTAAACATTTAGTTAAATGTTGATGTAAAATTTTAATATATTTTTACATAAATTATGTAAAATTTAATATTAATTAAAATTAAAATAATACATGATATATTTAAATACTCAAGTAATATATTATCAACAGATATAATTTTTATATAAATAATTTTTATTTAAATATTTAGAATTTCACTTGTTAAAAAAATAGACCAAGGACAATTTGGTAAAATATATATTCCAATAATATTTTATTCCTTCATCCAAACACTATAATCTTACATTCCTGTCAAACCAACCAAACACAGTAATGTAACATTCCCAGTAATCCTATTCCCTGGTAATCTTTTATTCTCACTGGTAATCTTTTATTCCTACTGGTAATCTTACATTCCGTGAACCAAACGCACCCTTAGGGATGGGGATGGGTCGAGTTCGGATCGGGTTCCAGTCAACCTGACCCAACTGAAAAATATATACCCTATATCCAAAATCTAACTCGACCTGAATTTAGGGGTGACTTCACCTAACCTGACTTTTTGATATAAAACTCGAACTCGATCCGACCTGACCCGAAATATATATATATATATATATATCATTTTTATTCAATAGAAATAGGGATTTGAAAAAAATAATATATAAAAGGTTGTTATTGTAATTATTTCTAAATATATAAGGTAAATTTAAATTATTTTTTGGGTAAGGTTGGGTATTTTCACCCTAAACTCGAATCCGGCCCGACCCAAACTCAATTTTTTAAAAAAACCGATCAATCGGGTCGAGTTAGAACCCATCAGGTTCAGGTCTCGTGCCTATCCCTAGAAACCTTTAGGTAGGGATGGGCACAGGTCGGGTTTCGGGATCCGGCCCAAAATTTTTACGTCCTCCATCTGACCCGTCCTGATCCAACCTAAAAATTTTACATTCTTCTCCCGACCCAAACGGGTCCGATACCCATCCCTACCTTTAGGTGTTAAATTATACAAGAATAATTTATTTAGACGATTATTGTAGTTTATGAGTTATGTTAAATTCAATATATTTCAAAACACTAATTTTTTTTAGACTTAAACTAAAAAGATATTTAAACTGTGTTATTTATTTGTTTTAGGTGTATAAACTATTTTTTTTCTCAAACTAAGTATTTAAAATATTATATATATATATATAACCACTTTAAATATCTCAACTACTATTTTTAGGTCAAAATAAGTTCCTAAACTATATCCTTTTTTGCTTTAAGCCCCTAAAATATTTTTTTGGTCAAAACAAGTACCATGATGTGCCAACATGTTGGTCAAAAAATAATTTTTTAATTAAAAAAATAGAACTTAAAATAATTAAATATAATAGTCTGTATCTATTTTGACCAAAAAAATAGTTTAATTATATAAAGCAAAAAAAACATAATTTAGTTACTTATTTTTAATTTAAGCTTTATTTTATTTTAAAATTTTTGAAGTTACTTAACTGTATAGTTAACATTTAAACTTATTATCCAAAGCCAAATCTCCATCTTTTACGTATGATTGAACGAGAATTTTTGGAATGGCTAAGGCATTTGAGTGTTAAAAGTCAGAGCTAAAACAAAGCGATAATCGCTTGACACACGGAATCTCGTTTCTCATCTTTGTAGGGCAATCTTATACTCCATTATTTGTTGGGAAAAAAAAAAGAAAGGCCCATGAGAACAATATTAAAAAAAGAGGAGTTAATTAAACTGAAAATCAATAATTTATGAGATTAGACATGTGTTAAAATAATAGGAATTAAACGAACCATTATAATATTGATTCAACCAACAAAAGGATCAAATCAAACATATAAAAGAAGTACATAACTTTTGTGTGTGATAAGATTTAAACCGTTGGAGATGCATAACAAATTATACATTAATGTATAGACCAAACCTAAGTTTTTCTTTTTTACCAGTTTGAGCTTGGAGTGGGCAATAATGGCCACTCAAGTGCTTCCACCCATATGTCTCTCGTCCTCCCTTCCTTTGTTGTACTCTCTCTCTCTCTCTGGAGTAGGAACATTTTAATGTACATATAATCTTCTTTTTCTTATGGTTTGACTACGAAAATCTTACATTTTTTATCACTCAATAATAATTTTTGGTGAAAAGGCTAAAGTGAAACAAAAAGGATGGTAGCTTCGAATAAAAGAAAAGAATTCCCTTTTTTTCATCTTGTCGGAGTGGAAAGGTACTAAGGGCCTAGGGTGGGCTTTTTGACAAACATGGTCCCTCATAGTATATCCCTATATACATACACACAACCCTTCGACGATCGTTTAATCAAACAATATATAAAAGCCACATTCGATTCCATACCCAGTTTATGATCTACGTTCAGACTTTAGGATTAACCCACCAATATCATTCTTGAAATTGAAATTCTCTTTTAAATAGGTTTTATCACTATATACAAACTAATTTGATCATCTTGGTTCTCGGACAACAGGTTAAGCTTCCCCTAAATTTTACCACAAATTGTTTGTTTATAAACCAACTGACCAAATGATTTATCCACCTGTTTAGAATGATCGATTTTCAACAAAGCCTTGAATTCCCCCGATAAATAGATATAGAAATAGATATAGAAATACCAACAAAGACTTGGCTCTCCGTCTCTACTACCAAAAAACCAATTTGGTCCGTAAAACTCATGATGACTTCGTACGTTATGATAAAAGCAATTGAGACCCGACGACCAATTGTCAATAACGTCAAAATGTCCCCCAAAAATCCAATAGCTTAGGGGCAAAAAGATCATCAATATGCAGAAAAGTTCAGTAATCGTGCAGCTGCTACAATTATGATGGATCAAAAGCTAAGGTGAGAATATTAACTAAATTTCAATAAAATATAAACTTAAAACCTTATCTAGAGTTCATGGTAACTGCATGGTAGTACGATCATAAAAACGAAAGAAGGTTCTTAAGGAATTTCAGTCCCCGGAATATCATGTAGATAATTAGTTGAGAGTTGAACCGTCATACTATCCACTTGTATCCATCGAACTAAACTCCTCGGCTTCTAGAGCATAATCTTTTTTGTTTAGAACACAGAAACCAAGCAATTGCAAAGAGTGTACCCACTACAGATATCAGCCCCAGCACAACTCAAACCGATTTGGTTATGCGGTAAGAATCTGAATGATATGCATGTAAGCATTTTGCATTAAATCCATGAGCAAGTGAGCAACACAAGGCATTATAATCATTGCCAATCGTAACACCCACTCAAGGCTAAAGACCCAAAAATTCTTGATATTGGCATTAAAAAAGTACAAGCTTAAAAACCAGAGTCACCCCGACTTGAATAAACAAACAATAAAGAAGAACCATTAATCATGGTATTTTGAAACATCCACAACAAACTACAGTTATCATAGTAAGCATCTTAGAATTTTAAAACATCCAACACCCTCCTGTCTTATAATTATAAAGCATATACCAAAAGCACCTACTACTCTGTCATGGCTGGTTTATTCTCATTTGCTTTGGGTTTTTGATCCTTTGGCCTCTGTTCCTCCATTTTCCTGAAAGACAAAGCAACAATTACATCAACACGTCAGAAGTTTGTCGCCATAACAAAAACTTATCTTACAATAAGATTGCAGCAGAAACCAATCATATAACTCATCATATACATCATTGGGCAAAAACATGGGAGAGGAAATAAAAGTATAGCAAATTAAAGCTACCAAAACACAAACAGAACATCCCTCTAAATTGTGAACACAACCACAAAGGAAAATTCACTCTTGCCGGTTAAAATGAACTTGCCAAAAAACATGTTTCAGTGAGTGTCCATATGAAACGACTCAAAGAGACAGACAGCCATAAAAACTTCCTAGGTTGTAAATTTTGGGATATTGGATAGGGCACAGTAATTATGAGAAGTTAAGGGTCCTAACTCCTGTTATGAAATTAGAAGCACCAATTTCGGCAGTGGCTGAGTCACATTGGAACCATAATTTTGATTCTTGTATATATGGTGTCATGTGCATTTTTTTGGGATATATCTTCCAAAATAAAGAAATGGCCTCCAAAGCTCCAATTTTATTTGTAATTATCTAACTCATTGAATCTTTAAAAAGGTATTAAAATTTCTCTAATTTTAATATTTAAATTACTTTTAACTTTTTTTAAAAAAAACTATATAACCAATCAGTTCTAAACTTATGATATGTTTGAAAAGAGTGAAGGTTTTTTCCCTTATAAAATGATTTACTGATATAATTGTGGTGCCTCAAAATAGGCTAAAATCTTTTGGTTCAGGGACGGTGGGATCTAATTTCTGCTCTTTGCATTGGGGGGATCATGCACCAAACACTAGTACAAAAGATCTAAGTGTAAATCTGCTAAAAAAAATAAGCATAAAATATCAATACATATAAATTCTAGGAACCCTAATTTTATGTTTTGAACTGTACATAATATAAATTTGCTTTCATAACCATTTTTCCCCCTTAACTAACGTATCGGACAATTACAGAATATAATAAGTTCATAAAAATGATCGTACACTCGAATATGTATTTGGTCCTATACAGAAATCCTAGCTCCGCCATTAAGTTCCATAAACCATGATTGTTATTAAGCGTTTAATACAATTAGCAGGCAAATCCTCCAAATCCAAGATAAAACATATCACACAATAAACGTGCTAGCTAAGCGTTGTGTACAGAGAACCATATATTACTACAAATTAGAGGCAGCCCATTTTATCACAAACATCATATTACCGTAGTTCATAATCATAAAAATCAAGAAATTCACCACCGTTTGATACTTTATTCACTATAATCACATCGAAGGATAACAAGAGAGGGATAGAGAGGGAACCTCTTGTCGGAGGAACCGCCCTTCTGGCTGAGGAATGAGCGAAAGAGAGGAGAATTGACGTCGTAAATCATTTTTTTCCACGGAAACCCTAGCTAGCTTACTCGCGCAGCTTCAATAACTTTAGCCTGGAGAGGATTTTGGATTTTATTTAGAGCCTCGACCGCCATTATCTCGACACCGCTTATTATTGTGGGGGTTTTTTCCCCAGGCCTCGCCCATAAATCTGTTATGATTCGGCGGTTTTGGGCTTCTGCATGAACTGGCTCATCATTTGAGTATTAAATTTCTGCTCACTTTTTAAAATAATTCATATATTAAAGGGTTTTTAAGCAAAGAAAAATCGTAGTATAATCCTAATCTTAAGACTAGTACCCGACATCGATATGATTGGGAAAATTCCCTCGTTCCCGCAAGAAAACCTTATCGAAAAACAAAACCTATATGGAACCTTTGGAGGAAGACTGCCGGAGGAGAAGATGGAGACCAATTTACAACCAGCTTTAGAAAGAACCGAATATCAGGCGAATCTGAAAGAACAAAGAAATCCAAAGAAAATCAAGAACACAAAGGATTGAAATATCAACGATAGTGTTACAGAAACAGAAGAGATGGATGTCGATAATCTATCAGAGAGAGACATGGCCGAAGCATCCGGCATAAATGAAGTAGAAGAAATTGAAAGCGCAATACAAAAAGAAACAGGAGATAAACCAGAAACAGAGATAAGAGGGAAGGCAACTTACGCAAGCATGGTAGCCAACACATCTAGGGCAAGGAAAACGCTAAATACAGGCTGTGGTATTAATAATGATGAAATTGTGGTATTGGATGAGGACTACGTTATCGACAAATCGGGTGCCTTCCCAACAATCAAATTCTCGGAAAAAGTTCATGATCAAATTGATAAAAACATGAGGAATGTCATCATCGTTCGGCTGTTAGGACGGATGATAGGATACAAAGCCCTGCTAAATCGGATCCAAACCCTATGGAAACCAATTGGAGAAATACAACTAATCGACCTAGAAAACAACTATTTCTTAGTCAATTTTGCAGATGAAGAAAATGGAGAAACAACAAAAAGGAACCTACCAGATCATCAAACAAGGGGAACAAATCGCAACATGAACAATATGGTACCAAAACCAGCAAAGAAAATGAACGAATCAGACAACATAAAAAACGCAATAGAAGTAATTCCAATGATAGAAGGACAGAACATGGAAGCAATGGAACATATAACCACAACAGGGAACGGAAACCACACAGCCATAACCATAAAAGAACCAAGCATGGGAAAAAAAACGCATGGGACTAAATTCCCAAAAGGGGGAGAAGAAGCTGGAAGGATGAGAAAAGAAAATAATGTGAAATGATTAAAAGTAAAAAAAACAAACAACTTTTCGCCCTGCAAATCATAACCTGATCAAAGAATGGGTAAAGACGGTATCTAATAAGCTATCCACAGCCTCGAATGATGAACATGTCAACATTGAACCACAAACACTAGTTAATGTGCCAATACGCAAAAACATGGTGATAAATGATCAACAGATAAAGAACAGCGAAGTGAAGGGAGACACAGAGAAGTCCCGGTTAATGGCCGGACAACAAGGATCTGAAACCTCACAAATTCAACTAAATGACTAGTTTCATGTTTTGGAACTGCCAAGGAGCTGCAAGCCCGACCTTCAAAAGAATATTTAATCTCTTTGTTAGAGAACACAGACTAAATATGGTTGCATTATTCGAAACAAGAACGAGTGGAACAAAAGCAGACAGAATAATCAATAAACTAGGATTCACACAGTCACTTCGAGTAGAAGCACATGGATTTGGAGGTGGAATTTGGCTACTTTGGGAAGAAACAATGGAAATTGAGATTACCCATATATCAAATCAATTCATAAATGGTATATTTCGGCCTAAGGAAGTGAATACATGGGCACAATTCACAGCAATTTATGCAAACCCAAACTGGTCTAAAAGGAAACATCTATGGAGCCAACTAGAGGCACTAGCACCAAACGATAATACACCTTGGATCCTGGGGGGAGATCTCAACGTGATATTAGACGTAGATGAAAGAAAAGGAGGTGCGACGACACGCACAAATGGAAGTTGATTATTCGCCAATTTCATGCATTCTACTGGATTATTAGATTTAGGATTCCATGGTCCACCATTTACATGGAATCGTAGGAACCTACAACAAAGACTAGATCGTTGCCTCGGAAACACAAAGTGGATTTCAACATTTCCAAACTCACAGGTACCGCATCTAGATCGAATTGGTTCAGATCATCGACCCCTTCTCCTAAGGCTGACAACAGACAAACAAGATCATAAAAATCGACCATTCCGCTTCATAGCAGCATGCCAGGAACACCATGAGTTTAAAGACTTTATCAAATCCATATGGAAAGAAAACGGGGAACTAAACGAAAATATTAGCACATTCAAAACTGAAGTGGAAAAATGGAACTCAGACGTCTTTGGTCATATAGGAAAAAGGAAAAAAATCTTATTGGCACGACTGAGAGGAATAGACAAAGCTCTACAACGAACACACTCAGAATTTATGGTAGAGTTGGATAAACAATTACGGACAGAACTCGACACTGTACTAGACCAGGAGGAGAGTCTGTGGAGACAAAAAGCACGGACAAAATGGATACTGGAAGGGGATCGAAACACTGCATTCTATCATGCCTCAACAATAACAAGAAGAAGAGCAAACAAAATCGAAACCTTAAAACGCGAAGATGGCAGTTGGAGTACTGATCAAGAAGAACTTAGAGAAATGGCAAACCAATTTTATACCAAACTATTCTCAAGCAATAAGGATCCTAAATACAATTATGAAATAAGAGGCAAGTTCAAAAAAATATAAGAGCATGAAAAAGAAAGCCTTACATGAGAAGTAACCAATGAGGAAATCAAGGAAGCTATTTTTGGAATGGGACCACTTAAGGCACCTGGAATAGATGGAATCCATGCGTTATTTTATCAGAAAAATTGGAGCTTAGTTGGGAATTCAGTTTGCATGATGATCCGAAAAATATTCACAGAAGGAATAATGCCAGAACAACTCAATCAGACAATACTGATACTTTTACCAAAAGTAGCTAAACCAGAAAAAATGCACCAGTTCCGACCGATCAGCCTTTGTTCAGTGCTATATAAAACAGTCACAAAAATCATAGTTAATCGTCTGAAGCCCATGTTACCAGAATGGATATCAGATAACCAAACCAGTTTTGTTCCGGGTAGAAGCATCATTGATAATATCATAATAACCCAAGAGGTAATACATTCTATGAGAAGGAAATATGGAAAAAAAGGTTGGATGGCAATAAAAATCGACTTGGAAAAAGCATATGATAGTCTGGAATGGAGTTTCATAGATGATACATTACGAGACCTAGGTATCCCAGATGCTCTATGTAATCTTATTTACCACTGTGTTTCGACAGCTTCAACACAAATATCGTGGAATGGATCATTGACAGACGCTTTTAAACCATCAAGGGGGATAAGACAAGGTGACTCATTGTCTCCTTATATTTTCGTTCTATGTATGGAGAGACTATCACAAGCAATTAAAATAGAAATTGAAAAAGGACGATGGAAACCATTCCAAACATCAAGAAGCAACCCAAAGATATCCCATCTATTTTTTGCAGATGACATGATTCTATTCGCAGAAGCCTCCTTAGACCAGCTCAATACCATCAGAACAGTACTAGAAAGATTCTGTGAAGTCTCGGGACACAAGGTAAGCATTGCAAAGACAACAATTTTCTTCTCTAATAATACACAAACAGCACTGCGAAATCAGATAAGCACATCATTTGGATTTACTATGGTTGATGATCTAGGGAAATATTTAGGAGTACCAATATTACACTCCCGAGCCACATCGAAATACTATTATTACTTGGTACTAATGGTTCAAACTAAATTAAGCGGATGGAAGGCAAAAACATTGTCACTAGCTGGTCGAATTACACTTGCAAAAGCTGTTTTGGCAGCCATCCCAACTTACACCATGCAAACAGCAGTATTACCCAAAAAAATTTGTGGAGAAATGGAAAAAATCATCAGACAATTTGTATGGGGTAAAATAGATGGAAAATGAGGGTTGCCATTAGTAAAATTGGAGAAAGTATGCCAAAAAAATATCGGATGGAGGTCTTGGATTTAGAAAGATAAAAGAGCAAAATGAAGCATTTATAATGAAAGTGGCGTTTAATTTAATAGCAAAAAAAGACGTATTGTGGGTTCGGGTTCTCAAGGTGAAATACAAATGCAAAGATGAGATACCGACTAACATTAGAAGCCAAAACTGCTCCAAACTATGGAAAGGGATAAGCATGGTATGGGAGGATGTCCGAAGAAACATAACCAGAATAATAGGAAATGGGGTACATACCGATTTTTGGAGAGACCACTGGATTGCAGAAATAGGGCCATTAATAAATTTGGTCAATCAACGAGACCATAATCAGGTGGGAAAAGTAACCATAAAAAGCATGACTGATGAAAATGGTAATTGGAACTGGAGGCAGATTGAACACCTTCTACCACTGCATATACTTCTGAGACTGGCATCGATTAAAGGACCTCACACAACTGCAAAAAATGATAGAATTGGATGGTTAAAGAGAGATGGTCGTCAATTCTCTGTCAAAACATCATATGAAGTTAGAATAAAACAAAGGGAAGATACTCAAGAACCTATATGGAAGGTCATTCACGCATATAAAGGAACACAAAAGCTGAAAACATTCATATGGCTAGTTTGCAAAGGTAAAATTCTGACAAATGCAGAAAGACTTCGACGACATCTTACAATTGATGGTAATTGCCCAATCTGTGTGACACAAACAGAGGATATTAACCATATTTTTCGACACTGCATTACCGTGACCCCTATTTGGACAACACTGGTGAAAAACGAGAGATTACAGAACTTCCTAACAATGGACATAAAGAATTGGGTTGAAGTGAATTTAACAAGACCAAGCATGTTTGCTAAAGAAAGTAAAGATTGGGAAATCCTATTCGGATCGGTATTATGGAACATATGGATCATGAGGAATTCGATTGTCTTCAACAATCCTATGGAAGATAACACAGGAATATTAGAACGAAGCCGCAGGATGACAAACTCAATAAACAATGCAAATAGAGAAAGAGACCAGGCAAACAAATCACAGCCAATTGAATTAGTTGGTCCAACAGTTTGGCTACCTCCATCAGAGGGATGGGAAAAACTTAATACAGATGCAGTCCATAGAAATACATATGGAAAAGCAGCATGTTGAGGAGTAATCAGAGATTTGAATGGAAAATGGAGGATCGGCTTCAAAAAATTCATAAGAATATGTTCTACAATGGAAGCAGAATTATGGGGAGTATATACAGGGCTAAGATGTGCATGGGAACAAGGAATCCAACAACTCATAGTTGAAGTAGATAGCCTCAAAGCAATATAGACACTGAAGAATAGCACAAACAAAGAAGGAAATATTACCATAATACCGTACATAAGGGAACTGATAAATCGGGATTGGAACATCAGATTGCAACATGTCCGAAGAGAAGGGAATAAAATTGCTGATAAACTAGCAAGAAGCGTCAATTTCGAAGATAGCCAAACCAGAATCTTACAGGAGCCTCCAGCTGATATAAACCAACTCGTGATTGAAGAATGCAATTAGGTTTAAGTAATTAGGTAGTTTTCATTTTCTTACCAAAAAAAAAGGGTTTTTTTTTGGGTAAAATAGATACTTGATTTTTTTAATTAATTAAATCTTTCAAAAAGTTTTGTATATAGTTAATCCCTTCTAATAAATTTAATTAAAATTTTTAAACCAATGTCATTTTTTTAATAGAAGCTACTATTATTATTAAAAGGTAAAATTATCTAAAATTATAATAAAGAATCACAATTATTATCGTAGATTATAAATATAATTTAGACATTTTCTTATAACATTAAAACTAGTATCTTCAGATCATATAAGAGTCGTACATAGAAAATGATAAAAACACAACCAAAAGACTTAAAAAAATAGATACAAAAAAATCTGATTGCTTCGACAAATGAACCACAAAAATGAATTGAGTTACTGAAAGGCCATTGAGAATCGAAAATCAAAGCTAAGCGTCATGAAAAACTATCCACGAACGTAAAATTATGCATCCAAATTCAATCCGACAGTCCATAGCAGGAAAGATCATCAGGATTATAAATAAATGTATATTAATCATTTGTGATATCGTCAAATCTAGCACCAAGAAAACAAAAACAAGAGAATGTTAAATGATCGAGAAATAAAACAAAAAGCATTTCACAGAGACAAAGAAAAACTTATCATAAAAGTAGAATTATTCTTATTAAAAAAATTAAAAGGGAACAAAGAGAAAATAGAATTGGCAGGCAATAAACTTCAAAATCAGTGTCGCCTGCTAAACAAAATCAAAAAATAAAAAGTTAATATGATATATAAAAAAAGAAAAAACTCAAAGGAAAAAAAGAGAAAGAAGGAAGTTGTCAGGGTTTTAATCGATGTTGGTTTCCCCCCATAAAAACAACTAATTTTATTCAAAATATGAAATAACTCAAATTACAATAAATATTTACAATTATAATAGTAAATTAATCACATAATTAGGACAATTTCCTATAATCATTGAAACAAAACTAATAACTTAATATCACATGAGGACATACAAGTAAAGATTAAAATCTAACCAAGAAACTTGAACAAATATAGATATGAACATATCTAATTGCATCGAAAAACGAACCACAAAAGGGAATCAAGATATTAAAAGACCACCGACAAATCGCAAATCAAACTCAAGCGAAGTGAGAAGTTATCTACGAACGCAAATCGAGTATCCAAATCCAATTTGAGGGTCCAAAGCAGGGAAGATCAACAAGATAGCATAAAAATGTCATCTTGATCAGTCGTGACGATGTCAAATCAACCTTTAGGGGAAAAAAGATAAATGAAAAATGGTTAAACAATCGAAAAACATGTCAAAAACATATGAAAATTTGTCATAAAGGCAGATGAAATGTGTCATACAGACAAATTTGTTGAAAATAAAAAATAAAAGAAAATATAGATACAATATAAAAAAGAAAAAAACAATAAAAATATCGACAATCAATATTAAAATTAGTGTCGTTGGCGATCAACGAAGACGAGAAAAAAGAGAGATGAATAACACACTAATTAAAAAAATAAGTTTTTTTCTTCCTGTAATCTTAAATTGATCGATGTTGGTTATTAAATATATTAATGTGATAGTAAATGAATGATAGATTAATATTTTTTGTAGATGTGATAATCTACACGGATGATTTTTTTTCCTTTTCACCCTAGAATATTATTGTTGTCATCGTTGCTCCTACTCCGGTGAACTTCTTTGATCAAGCTAAATCTTAAATCAACTCGTGTGGACCCATTTTCATTTTGTTCAGATTAATTTCATAAAAATCCGGTCTTAAATTTCAATTTAAAGCTTTAATCTTATTATTATTCAATCTAATATTCAATTTGTTAAATCGTTGTGTTCTAAGAATATGTTGTTCCCCAGTTAAAAGAATGTTATTCACCTCCTTGAATAAGACTTCTTTTATCATTAGGATATTAAAGATTAAAAATAAAACTTTCCACCAACATTCAGTTGATTTATTAGGATGAGATATTAAGTCCCTTAAACAAGGTCAGAGGTTTGAATCACGTTTGCTAGTGGAGTAAACTGGATTGGGAGGATAACCCTCGCCTCTGCAGTACCCGATCTGGATTAATTGATCAATAGATCAAATATCAATGATTAATTCAAAAAAAAAACTTTCCTTATTTTCATTTTCTTTTTATATTATAGTTTGATTTTCATTTTTACTTTCTTCTTCTTCTCAATTGTTCTCTACATGTTTCTTACGGGAGTGAGATTTTTTAACTACTTCTTGTTTGTTTGTTTCATGATTTAATTTTTAGTATAAGATCAAATTTATTTAGTAATTTCAATGGTTAAAAGGAAGCGATATTTTCATATATATATATATATATATATATATATTATCTTATAATTATCCAAATTGTTTTAAAAAATGATTAGAAATAGTTAATAGAAAAATAACGGAGGAGGAAAATAACTCTTTAACGTTAACAAAATATTCATATTTAATAATAATAATTTTTTTTGAAAGATGTTGATTTTGTATTTAAGAATCGAGTCAAATACAAAATCGGACATAAACATGGACCTCATTAAAAAACCTCCCTAAATCTAAGTGGAGGAAAAAGAATGTCCATGTTCGTATCATAGAATACATACCACAACTGTTAAACTCAAACACTACACAATACTTTGAAAATACAATCCACCCAAAACAAAAAAAAAAACATCATATACCCTTCCTTAGAAAACATCAGCAGACAAATAACAAAAGAATTGATAGTTTAAATTATTTTCTTATGAAAAATGTCCTTAAATTTATAATGTTTATATCACTTTTCAATCAGACTAACATTAAATTTATATTTAAGAGATTAAAAAATATAAATTAAAAAAATTGAGGTTAAACTAATGTTAATGACAACTACAGACAATGCCAAGATTTTTGCTAGAATAAAAGATTAGAAAAAGAGAATATATAAGAGTGATCAAATTGATAATATATATATATATATTAGGAGTTAATTTATTAAATATTTTAAATTAAGATCAAATTTGTATAAAAATAGACTTGTAAACATAATGTAAATACACGTACAGAAGCATACGTTCCCCTCATCACATTCAAGACTTGGCCTTTAGTATTGGTTCTTTGCCTGTGCAGCGTTTTCTTCGCTTTGACTTTTAATTCCCCCCAAACCCCCCCCCCCTTCTCGTCCTTTATACCAGCAGCTCCGCCATCCTTTGATAAAGGAAAATTATTTGTCAAAAGGTGGTAAAGATAATGGATGTATGAGCCACCACCACCACCTTCTTGGAAACACTCTCTTCATTCATTCTTTTATTCTCTCCCCCATCTTCCTTCTTTCCCTTTACCAACAAAATCCTCAAAAGTTGCCAGATTTCAACATTAAAAAGTACCCGCCTTTCTATCTCTTCTTCTACTCGGTTTCTCTGTGTCTATTGTCTACCACTTCCTTTTCTTTCCCTTTCTCAGGTACCAAACAACATTGACTCTTTTATCTGTTTGTGATTTATCTTATCCTTTGTAATGGGTGATTTTTGCGGTTCCTGATAATGGGTCATCTCCATTTTTTGCTTTGATGGATTTGGAGCCTTTTGGCTTTCTGGTTTTCCCCCTCTTTGATTGTTGTGTGTCCCCCCACTGTCTCTGCTTCCATGAAGGTGGTAGGTTGGTGGGGTTGGCTTATTTTGCTGCGGAGATAGTTGGGATTTTTATCAGGCATACATATTGGGCAACTTTGTTAGTTTCAAACGATGGAAGTTTTTGGCTTTAGATTAATTTATCTTATCTTTTAGTTTTAAATAAAAAAATTAGTGCCGAACTTTATTTCACCTTGCTCCCTTATCGGAGCCTGGTTAACTTTAGGAACTGAGTACCATTTCTTTAGTTTCATTTGTGAATGATTTCTGCTTTTTACCAGCCATCAACTCTGTTGTTCCTTTTTGCAAATCTAATCGGTACATGGGATTTAGCCCCATGCTTTTCTATGTAGCATTATTGAATCAAACTTTGAAGTTGAACATGCTAAAAAGATGATGCCTAAAGCATTTTGCTTTGATCATTCGAATGTCTGCCGAGTGAAATGGTTCCTCGTAGCTGTTGATGAGAAATTGGTTGGTGTTCAGCCAATGGATTGTGTAAGAACTAAGAAGTACTTGCAGATGACATTAATTTTTTGTAACAAAAAAGTTGACTAACATCTGGGAACTTCACCTGGCAATTCCATTTTCCCTTTAGTTTAGATTGTGTAGGTGCATCAGGTTAATTGCATGGACTCATAGTTTTGATGCTCTTCCTTGTTCATTTTGACGATTGTCGTCTTATGCTGTTGTTTCCTATATCTCTCTCAGCAACCTTCTGTTTTTATCTGCCATCTTGTTCATTTTCTATTTTTTTCTTCTTTAACGTTTGCATCAAATGGTTTGATCCACTTCTAAGTTCCAACTCGTCCTTCCTTGCTAATCTTAGGAGCACATACACAAGGATAAATGCAAAGGACGATAAATTAAACCATTGTTCACTAATTAAGGGATTGCCAACATGGTGAGCTTACGCAGAAGGAAGCTTCTTGGACTCTGCTATGGTAATGTTTAATTGGAATGTGCCTTATATTGTATAATTAATTGCTTCTGTGGATAGCAATGGATATGAACTTTCACTATGTTTTGTCATGTGAAATCTGTCTTTCAATTCTTTGCTTTTGTTTTTTAGGGTCAGTTTGTTTGAGTGAATTGCGAGTATTTAAAATTTTAAACATCTTCGAAATTATGATTGATTAATGACCTTTTGTAGGGAAGAGTTCCTTTTTGACTCCACTCTCCAGATTCTTTTGTAGTGGAAATGCTCTTGAAAATTCAAGTCAGAATGCAAAATCAATCAGCGTGCATCCTATGCCCTCATATTCCATTTCCATCAACCAAATGCACGGGGTAAGAATGTGTATTAATCAACCGATTAGATATAGTATATCGAGATTTCACAGTTTATATGAGTTGGTCGTATCACTTTCTTTTACCATTTTGTATAAACTTAGTAGCTTGCAGAGATTCTTTTATCTTTCTTCCCTTTGTTAGGGATGCTTGCCTTTAAAATGCCTCACAAATTTATTTATTCTTATTGTCCGCTTTGAAATATATATCTGGGCCTTCAATCTTATTTCATTTTGTCTGTTCTTTTAATCCTCTGCCAATCTTAACCGATCATTTAAATTGTAACTTTCCCATAATTATATATTTATTAGTTTGTCTCACAAAATGTAACGATCCTAGGAGTGAGCCGGTTGTCACAAATGCATCTTTCATATTGACCAGCGTTCCTGGCTGGTACGGTAGTTATAGTTATGTGAATATCATAGCCAACTGTTGGTGGCATGTATGGTTATGTCATGCAGCAGTGAACAAAAGGTGGATCCATTAGAAAAAGTAGGGCGTTATACATGCTACTTGTTTGGACCCCTTTAACTGATCTGGATGAGAATCATCAAATGGAAAGACTCGTGTCTTCACTCACTACGCCAATGGTAATTTTTGTACTTTGTTCTGTGAATGCTAAGTATGCAAACCTAAGGATTCCTAGGCTCCTGTTCCATTTGGGGGAGTGAAACCATTAACTCTTGATGCTTGGTCATTGCATTGCATCCCGGGCCACCCACTTATCATAGATGATGTTTCACTGTTCCTTTTGAGCAAGAATCTCAGGGTAAAAAGCTAGTTGTCAATTAAAATGGTACTTTTAGGTGCCCCTAGGTGCATCATACTAGTTGTCAATTTCTGCTTATTACTAATCAGTTCCGTATAACTATTTGATGTTGTTTCTCAGAAAAGCACTGCTGTGGTTGGCTCTGTATCAGCAAATGTTTCTGCTTCTGGATCTGGTTCATCAAAAGAGCCTCACTATCAACCTTTTCCAGGTTCGTCTCTTAGGAAACCCGTGTTCCATATGTTTGTTAATATTTTTTTATAAGAATTGGAGGCCTCGTTAAAAACCCCCTTCATAATCATCAACATACTAGACCGTATGTCAACGAAAATTGGAAGGAGGAAAAGAGTACCTCATGATTTATCAAACCAGTACACCATAGAGGAAAGAACGCACCAATCTAGATACAAACACCAAATCAAAAAAAACCAGAAAACCTTTAAGAAAACCCCCTCAAACAGCCAAATAAAACAATGACAGCCCTATCCGATACCAACTCTCGACCTATCCCGAGCCTCACATCACTAAAAATCAAAATAACCGAAAGCAGTACCCAAATTCATTAATGTGAGAAAAGCACAACCGACTCCAAGAGGCGAACCATCTACATATTTGGAGAAGCAATACAATCCAATCAATTAAAAATCCTTCAAAAACCGCTAACAGACCAAAGCCCAAGCTTCCGCCGAGCACTTAAGCAAACCTTAGCCTTTTGCTTGTTCTTTTTAGATTCGTGAGGTCTCTTTTTCTTCCCAAGCTTTGGGCCCTTCGTAAGGTCCTCTTCCTGCAACCAGATTGAATCACCTATTGCCCCATTAGAAACCAATAGGCCCATACTGAGACCGTCTTCCAGGGCACGATATTCCACAACGTTTTGATCTGATCGATCGAGGGCATTAGGTAAGGAAGACTCTGAAACTAAACATGGCCTCGAAGCTAAACCAATCTCACCACCGGTGGTTCCACCGCCAGGTACAACTTCCTTCCCAAGCTGATTTGACAAATTTTCCAGCGATCCAAGGGGAAAGGAACCCGGTGTAGCCTCGGGGGAACTTCAACCAGGAGGAGGAGCTGGAAAACTTCTAGTTGTTTATGGCTATATGTTGGTCTTTCCTTCCTTTCTTCCTCTTCTTTCTGACTTCTTTTATCTTAGTACTTCTGTTTTATTTTATCCTTAACAAGTAGGATAGAAAATTAACCTAAAATATAGTGCCTTCATTTTTCTCTGTATTTGATGCACATATAAATACATAAAAAATGGGGGATTGATTGATGCAACTGGTTTCCTGTTGAATGATATTTATATGGGACCTTTAACATCAGCAAGTCCAATTCAATCTACCCGAGACTGTATTCAAATATTAGGTTCCGGCATCATTAGTTTGAGCATGACCGCATGCTACTAATTTCTATATAATAATTAAGGAAGGACGTTGTAAAAAAGATTTTATCTGCAGATATATAATGTACAAAATTGAGGTGTTATACTTTTAAGTATTAGAATCCTGTTGATGTGTGTTTTTGGATTTTTCTCTTTTCTTTTCTTGTTCTTTTGGGTATACCTAAGAGAGCGGCTTGTGATAAATGACATGTTTGACACAATTACAAAAGCAATTCGAGGAAGAGACAGCATATCACCCTGTTTGTTGGTTAGAATAAAGAGGAAAATGATATATCTCGGAGCTGAGTTCATGCCATTGCCCTTCTGGATAAAGCATCTCACTAAGCAGCATCAAAAATGGATTTTGGAAGCCATTTTAACTTCTACATTTGACTGATGCCGATGTACGATTTCTTTATTTATAGGGCAACCAATCAAGCGCAGGAAGCGACATAGGAGGAAGCACGCTCAAAATCAAGAACCGTGTCTAATGAGGGGTGTATACTTCAAGAATATGAAATGGCAGGCCGCGATAAAGGTTGACAAGAAGCAGATTCACTTGGGGACCGTTGGTTCACAAGAAGAAGCTGCCCGTTTATATGACAGGTAACAACCTGTCCTTTTTTATCTTACCTGTAACGATCGCCACTACAAATTTTCTGCAAATTCTGATCTCCTTGGGGTTTACTTTAGTATTCTGATAAAAACAAAAGAACAAGTTTGATTCCTTTATTTTCACACTTACCATGGGTCGAGGTAAAATTGTTCTCTTCATGTTGTTAACGAGTTTGTTTAAAAATGTTCATGTACTACTGATGATAAATACGATAAAAGTGGTATATTTACAATTTAGTGATCAGAGAAAAACGATGGGAGGTGTATGTATGAGAAAGCTGTGAAAATCATATGTGATTCCTAGCTTCTCAGAAAGGATTTGGAACTCATTGGTTGATATTTTTATCTATAGAGCCGCTTTCATGTGTGGAAGGGAGCCGAACTTTGAGATGTCGTCGGAGGAAAAGCAAGAGCTTAGTAGATTCAAGTGGGATGAGTTTTTGGCATATACTCGCAGTTCAATCACCAATAAAAGTAACCCTTTCTTTATGCTTACGAACCTTATCGTCTTGGCTCTTTTAATCTAATCGAACACTTAAATGTGCTTATTTTGAAATGAATATGATGTTACAGAATACAAGCAAAGGGTTGGGGCTGAACCCCAGAAAATGTCTGAACCTGCAATAGAGAACGGTTATCCAGACGGCAAACGATTCGATAGCTCCTCAGCTTCAGAAGAGGCAGGGCCAGACTCTTCAGCCTCGTGAAAGATTTTGAGAGGGGGGCTGAATAATCCGTGATGTTTAGGTAGTTGCTGGGTTTCCAATTTTCAGGGTTGAAATTCTGTTAGGTAGCCGAGTAATATATATAGATATGATTATCATGTACCAAGCAGATATTATAGTGCTTTAACCCTGTAATAGGTGGTAAATATTACTGGTTTTCATCAGTCAACGTACTGCATATATGCTTGAATGCTCAACCAACTGCGTTTAAACAAGTAATGTATTAAGATCCTCTCTTCCTACACTTGCTGTTAATCCCTATTTTACTCTTTTATCTCTATGATTTCATCTTACGTGAGCAGACTAAGGATATTTTAAAAATATTACTTTATTACTTCTACTATTCTAGTTACAAAACTGTAAAAATAATATTTTAAAATAATATTATTATTTTTTTATAATAAATAATATTATTTATTATATTTGATATCCATAATAAATAATTTATCAAAGCTTTACCAAGCAACTAAAATGTTTCGTAAGTTATTACCCAGACACACGCATATATTCGATAGACCCAACTACGCAAACTTAAAACATATAGAAAGAATAATATGCTTTCTTTACTAATAAATTCATTTAATTAATTCAATAAATATGAACTTAATACCAACTGATAACATATCTGTCTAATAAACACAAATAAGCCCAATAAAACTCTGGGTTGGGCTATACTTACATGTCGAGATCTGACCTATTAAAAACTCTTGCATTAAGGGAAAGTTAAGTTGAGTTCGAGTATTATTAAACTCGTCGACTTAAAAAATTTAAAATTGAGTTTAACTTCAGTAAAAAATTTATAAGATTAAAATTATCAAGTTTGACTCAAACTTGAAATAAAAAAAATTAAAGTTCAACACGATTTGAAAGCTTGTGAGCTTTAAATTTTTAAGTTCGACTCGAAATAAAAAAAATAAAGCTTGACTTGAGCTCGAAAAAATTTAAACTTGAAATACTTTTAAACTTAACTCGACTGAAGCTCAAACTCAACCTAAGTTCAAGCCTAAACTTATATTAAAATATGAATCTTAAATATATAAAAGTCTTATAGTGTATAATTTAAAAAAACATAAATATTAAAATATTATTAATAATTTATTTTAAAAAATTAATATATTTTTCTTAGTTGCTCGAATTTTTTAAATAAGATATTAAATAATTTATTTAATAATTTAGTTGATTTTTCCAAACATAAACCGATTCTTCTATATAAAAATCAAGTGACTTTGATGAAAAATGACTTATTATTATTATTTAAAATTTCGATTCGAAAACAAAAATTATCAAACGTGTAACCGATATATCTCAAATAATAAAGCATCATATTTAAATAAATATTGCATCATATTTAACCAGATTAATCGAAAAAAATAACTCGTTGTAGGTCTTTTGTCTTTTTGCCTTGTTCATTGAGACATCGGGAGTCGTGAATGTTTGCATCGGTTCTCTTTGTTTGAAACAGGGGTTGCCGGTGGAGGATTTGGGCTGGTTTCAAAGCATCGAAAACTGCATGGCCTGGCTAATATTTCAGCTACTTATGCCACTAATTTCGCTATTGTCATCGGCTGCCACTGCGGTATTTCCTTTCTTAATGGTTGCTATCAGCTTTCCTAAAGTATTTAACTGCAAGTGATCGGTTGTTAAAGTCAAAATCTTTTTCGTTTTCGACTCTGATCGGTAGAGGCGATGACTTTGCAAATTAGTCAACGAGATGTTAAGTTGTACTGTGATTTCAACCCTAAAATTAGATAGAAGAAAAACCATTAGTTTCATCATCTATAGCCAACACACATTTTCAGTATTTAATTCTTCCAAAGTATTACTCTATTTTGCACCCAAATCCAGCTTTAGGAGCATATAAAAAGGGTCCTACAGGAATTCTTGCTACTAATTCTCTGTCATTGGTTGTGATAGTGGGTCATATTTTCCTTAGTCGCTTCATTTGTACTCGTGTATAACTGCAAGTCATACTAAAATTTGTTTTCATCTTTCAAAACGTCTGCAATATCTATTCACGAAATTGTCATTAACGGGAGTTACATTGGTGGAAAAGTTAAAGTAACTTGGGAGATCAGCTTTCTTGACCTGGATAACTATGCGGTTTTTTGACACCATGGAGTGCTGCAGCTGCTTGGCAGCTAATATTGTATTCCTCGGATTAAGTTTTGTTTTATTTTCAAAATATTCTAATAATATTCTTTGTTTTACATTAGCTGTAATTTGAAATTTAGAGTACTATTCAATATATTTGTTGTAGAAGAGTTACATTTATATATATATATATATATATAAGGCATAATCTTAACTTTAGGAAACTCTTAAGCTGAAAGTACTAGGGAAATATATAATCCCTAAAAGTTAGGGATTATAACAACTAAAAGATATTCACATAATCCTATTTAATCCATATAATCTTTCTAATTTAGGAATCTATTTTCTGACACTCCCCTCAACATGGGGAATGGATATCCTCCATCCTCAACTTGCTGCTAACTTCTGAAAATAGTTTTCGGCATTATTTGATCGAAACAGTTTTATGTCTGCCCCTAACTGAGTCTTAATCATGGTGTAAAAGGTCTTAAAGGTAGAGCTTACATCAACTTTCTGTTTTAGAAGAAATATTCGTGACACTCAGCTACAATCATCTACGAAGGAAACAAATCATCGGGCCCCAATTATATTTGGAATGGTTGATGGCCCCTAAACATCATTATGAATATGAGTAAAAGGCATGAAGGCTCTTTTTTTGCTTACTGGAAAAGAAGCGTGTTTATGTTTTGCAAGTTCACAAATGTCACAGTGAAATAAGTTAACATTTAAGGATTAGAACAAAGAAGGAAACATAAGTTTTATAACTTTAAAGGATGGATGACCAAGACGAAGGTGATGAAGCCATACTTGATCTTTATTGATTTTAGATTTTGATAAAAGGGATAATGGTGAGGAACTTTGGGCATTAACTTGTGCACCAGAGTCTTCAAGGTAGTATGGGCCATTCATTTCTTTAGCACGTCCAATCCTCCTCCTCATTTCTTGTTCCCTGAAAATACATTATGTAGGATGGAAGATAACACTGCAGTTAATGTCTTTGGTAATCTTCTGGATTGAAATAAGATTAATAAATAGTTTGGGTACACGAAGAACATTTTTTAGTGGAAGAGTTTCACTTATAACAATATCCCCTTGACCAGCCATTGTTATCACAATACCATAAGCTATTGTTATATCTTTATTGCTAGGACAAGGTGTATAGGTGATAAATCTGAGTGAAGAACTTGTCATGTGGTTTGTAGTCCTCGAGTCAATTTCCTTGGAGCTTTGGGTAGGTAAATCTGAGGCTTTAGAGTAATGAGAAGAGGATATATCTGAGAAAACCAGACTACAAGTACCTGTTGAGGAGGGCTTTTCTAGAGACCCTAGCAAGCTTTTCAGTTTTTCAATTTCTTCTCTGTTGAACTTAATCGACAGTTCTTGAGAGTCTTCAACCATTTGTTTTTTGTATATGCTCTTCCTTGCCCTTTTGATGGTCTTTCTTTCTCTTAATAACTCTTATTTGTTGTTTGAGGCTTCCCATGAAGTTTCCAACATTTTTTTTGTGGCGAGGTTTCTTGCAGTAGGTGTGCCATAGGGAATCCCTGTTAGTTGTTTTTACTACTTCTGGTTGCCTATTATCTTTAGTAACCAACTGTTCCAGACCAGTTCTTCTTTCAGTTACGACTCTAATTACCAAGGCTGGACTCTCTACTTGATTGCTTTCAATCATAACTCCCTTTATTCCTTTCTCAGCACAAATAATTGCAATTACTTCATTTAGTGAGAGCAGATATTCATTTCCAAGAATTTGGACTCTCACTGCATCGAATTCAATATTTAATAAAAAAATCATAAATTCTATCTTTTTCAATAACCTTTTTAGGATTGATGCATCTTCACTGTACCTCATTTGGATACACCGGTAGTGATTCATCTCTTGCCACAGATTTTGTAGTAGGTTAGAGTGTTATGTGATTGAGTTGCATCCTTGTTCAGTGGATGAAATCTTGGTCTTGATTTTATAGATTTGGGCAACATCCCTAACTTTTGAGTAAGTTTGTTTTACAACCTCACATATTTCTTGGGTTGTACATGTATCACTAATCTCTGGCACCATAGAATTACATAACCAGGACATTACTAACGAATCTTGTTCATCCCAAGCATCAAATTTGGGAGTTCCCTGTTCAGATCCAGTCCCAAGAAGAAAACTTATATTAGCTCTTCCTTTTAGGAATGTAAGAACTAATTGAGACAATTTAAGATAGTTCTTCCCATTCAATCTATAGACAACTTGTATCTGTAAGTCACCCGTTGAATTAGAGCAACTCCCTGAACAGTCTCAAAACTACTGGTGTCAACCACTTCAATCATGATTTTGTTGCGGTAAGACTACACACTTAAGTAGGGGAATCAAGGGTAAAAAAAGGCTATTAAACAAAGGTTAACAGGACCCAGAAACGATTAAAAAAGCTTTGATACCGTGTTAAAATTAGAGTAATACATAATATATTTGTTGTAGAAGAGTTACAATTATATGTACAAGCCATAATCTTAACTTTAGGAAATTCTTAAGCTAGAAAAGCACTTAATTCTAGGGAAATATATAATCCCTTAATAATTAGGGATTATAACTACTAAAAGATATTTACATAATCCTATCTAATTTATACATAATCTTTCTAATTTAGGAATCTATTTTCTGACATTAAGCATCCGTAGATAATTGTAAAAGAAAAAGTTATTCACTTCTACAATACTTGAGATATCTTAAAAATTGTAACACTTCTCTTGACTCTTAGAATCTCTAGGTCTTTCTTATTACTATTCTCCCCCGATGTTGAGCCTCAACAGTTTCTATAAACGACTCATCATATTCGAATCGCTCTTTTCTTTTCCTAGATTTCTCCATCCAATTTGATGATTCCGGCATCGAGCTTATGCAGGGCAAGCGGAAACCTTCATTTTCAGCTGCCAAGCATTGTTGCATGTTTCCTTCTTGAAGGTAAGCTTCATTTTTATCAGCAAAAGTTGAATTCAAGAGCTCACCATGTTCTTTGTTGGTGATATATTGATCTTGAATCCAATTCGAGTTATTAGTTGCTCCTGGCGCTTCTAATAACCCATCAAGTGGTGATAATTTGTTAGATAATCCATCATTATATAACAGTTCCTGAAACATGGACAATAAAACATATTAGTTATTTCCTTCAGTTTTACATTCTGCATCAATAAATGATTAAAAGAGAGAGAGAGAGAGTTTACTGCTGGAATAATGTCCTCTTCGACATGATACTCTAAGTAAGAAGGCCCTTCAAAGCCCTTGGCTGCAATAACTATATTATGTTCATTGCTACTTTCATTTGAAGGCAGATGTTGAGCCTCAGTTTCTATAGATGGCTCATTATATTCGACATGCTCTTTTCTTTTCCTAGATTTCTCCATCCAATTTGATGATTCCAGCATCAACCTTATGCAGGGCAAGCCGAAACCTTCATTGTCAGCTGCCAAGCATTGTTGCATGTTTCCTTCTTGAAGGTAAGCTTGATTTGTATCAGCAAAAGTTGAATTCAAGAACTGATCATGTTCTTTGTTGATGATATATTGATCTTGAATCCAATTCGAGTTATTAGTTGGTCCTGGCGCTTCTAATAACACATAAAGTGATGATAATATGTTATATAATCCATCATTATATAACGGTTCCTGAAACATGGACAATAAAACAGATTAGTTCTTTCCTTCAGTTTTACATTCTTCATCAATAACTGATTAAGAGAGAGAGAGTTTACAGTTGGAAAAATGTCCTCTTCGGCAAGATACTCTAAGTAAGAAGGCCATTCAAAGCCCTCGGCTGCAATAACTATATTATGTTGATTGCTGCTTTCATTAGACGGCATTTCGAAGCCCTCGACTGCAATAACTATATTATGTTGATTGCTGCTTTCGTTAGAAGGCATTTCGAAGTCCTCGGGTGCAATAACTATATTATGTTGATTGCTGCTTTCATTAAAAGGCCTTTCGATGCCCTCGGCTGCAATAACTATATTATGTTGATTGCTGATTTTGCTAGAAGGCCTTTCGAAGCCTTCGGCTGCAATAACTATATTATGTTGATTGCTGATTTCGCTAGAAGGCCTTTCATAGCCCTCGGCTGCAATAACTATATTATGTTGATTGCTTCTTTCTTTGGTGATTGTTTCTTCATAGTTGGTGAGAATTGAATTGCAAGACTCATCATCTTGTTCAATGGTGTTATATGGATCTCGAACCCTATTATCGTCCTTGGGTTCATTTTGATCCGTTGACAACTCTTTAAGGTGTAAAGGTACCTGAATCAGAGAAATAAGAGTGAGTTTTAGAGAGTCATCATCATCCGCATGGATAACCGATTAAGAATTTTGCATCAGACATCTTACTTTCATAATTGTATACTCTGCAACATGATTTATGAAATTAGATGAAATATTAGAGTCTTCATCTTCATTAACCATGTTATGTTGATTGCTTCTTCTTCCTCCACCATATATCTCAACAGCGCTGCAAGGGTTATGAGCACCGTCATGGTCTTTAGATGTTTCCGACCTGTTAGGGTCTAGAATGTCCTGAACATAGAGAAAGAAACAGTAGCTATGAATACCCACATCATGATAGAAATATACAACTGAATGAAGAGAAGAAACATAGGGAATCTAAGTTCTAACCTCTGACATTGCTTTGTTTGCTACATGATTTTCTAAATTAGAAAGAGAATCCTGATTTAATTGACCGACTTCACTACTGGATATATCGACTTTTTTCTTCAGTTTACAAAGTTTGAAAGGCTTCTACACAAATTAAGGGACAAAAACATATTTGTTGGTGCTGTTAAAGCTCATAAATAGATATAAAAAGTGTATATATATATATATATATATGATAGCAATTTGAAAAGATTGCTTACTTGATCGGAGTCAGTTGTAGCCTTGAGTTCATACTCATGCATAACCCAAGAAGTCTTGTTTTTGTTCTTATTGTTACATTGGCCTCTATAGAAAACCAAAGTCTTCTTGCTGCCTATCTCTGATCCGCTTTCGGAATTAATTATCTTACGAGCATTGCCTGTAGGCTTCCAGTACCCCTCCAGGGTGGTCCTGCTAATCAGTTTACTGTTGCGGTACTTGTATTTAGGTGGGTACATGAAGTACCATGATCGATCTCCTGTCTGCAAGTTTGAGCACCCTGAAAGAAGAGCACAGTCAGCACACATATCCATTAAGATGTTACAACATTTCTTGAAGTAAATCCAGAATTAAGAAGCAAAGAAAGAAGGGATTTGACCAGGTAATTCCCAAGGCTCCAACTCGCAGATGTCTTGTATTTCAGCAATAACTTCGAAAAGAGAATCATGGTCGAAGGTTTTGATATGAAGATACTCGATGAGTTCTTCGTCAGTTGGGTGAAATCTGAACCCTTTCACCAGATTCATTCTTTTTCAAGAGATTGCTGATAAGAAACCTAATAAAAAGCTGAAGAAGATCAAGATGAAATAAGAACTTGGGACTCTTCCTTTTGGTGTATGTGTAATGTGTATATATAGAAAATACTCCTTGCTTGATGAAAATATTGTAAGTGGATGTCGTTAGGTCATGTCTACTTCGCCTCCAAGTTCCTACTGTTACTGTAAAGTGTAAAGCAAAGTCAATATTCTAATGACTTGGCTTTTTTTCCCCTTCTTTTCTATTCCTCAAGATATAAGGCTTTGCTCTATTAATTGGATCGATCAAAGTCGTACACTTAACTTTAGTAGGTGAGTTTTCAATAGAAATTTTTTACATGCACAAAGACTCAAATATAAAATCTCATTTAAACAATATCAAATTAATTATCGTTTAAATTAACTCTCATTTTTTCTCCTTTTAAATATGAATTTCAACATTCGGTTTTAAGGTTTTAATCTCTTAAAACTAATTTATCAATTCCAATATTCCTGTAGCTTACGTCGTATTCATTTATTTATGTCCACACAATTTCATAAGCTTCGTGAGCAAGGAGTACCTTTTTAAGTACACTATGACTGTGACCATGAGCAGGGATAAGAAGCTCCTTTATTTTCTATTAATGATGCTATTATTGCTAATATTAAAATATATTATTAATAATTAATTTATTAAAATAAAATATAAAATCATTTAAATAATATTTAGATCTAAAGTTTTGATGTTAATATTGTGGATAATGTAAATTAAATTGAGAAAAACATCCAATGAGGGGCAAGTCTCTTATTGCCTTCATTCTCAAGATTGCTTGGAAAGCTACAATCTCTCTCACTTGGACGGAAAGGAATTGAAGGAGTTTTTGGAATCAAATCAATAATGGTGAGGAAATTTTGATGTCTATTAGAGAGCTCGTTAGAATGAAAGTTGAGGGTCGATATATAGATAAAAATGATGGTGTAAATGATGCTCTTTATATAGCTTGGGGTTTTCCTTGAATGAGCCCTCCTTTTATTTGAATAGAATTCGTCTGCCTTTTAGCGAGCAAAAGAAGAGAAGTCAAGCAATTCCCAAGCCTCGCATCTGTAGGCATCGATTTCACAATCTACAAACATAGTTCTCATATCTATATGCCACTAAATCCAACTTTAGTTGCCAATGCTTGGAATTCTTTTTTGGTCTTCTTTTCCTCCTGAATTTTGTGTCATCGTGTTTACATTCGTCTCAGAAATGCATTTCAAATGAGCATTAGTCTTGGGTACAACAAGAAGGACGGCATCAACCGCTATAACCTTTCTGTTACTCGGAATCGCATTATAACAATTCTTCAATAGTTTCAAACAATGGTCATCGCTCCAATCATGAAGAATGAACTGTCAAATTTGCTTGCTTACAAGTTGAAATGCTGATAAGATTTGTGTTTTCTCTTCCAGTTGATGACTGTTTCATATCTATGCTTGTTGCTTTGACTTTTGATCATAGTGACGATCAATCGCAGTATATAATTATCATATTTGTGTGAATATATTTGAATTGCGAGGGTTGGGATTTTCCTGAATTGAGTGGTTCTTCTTCCTCCCGTTTGACCGGAAGTACCCGGACGGAATCTGACATAACCGATAATTGCATAAATTTACGTGCAGATTGCTGTCATCTAAACGTAATGGTACGACATATGGAGCAGATAATAGCGATAGGTTGCTATCATCTGAACTTCTATGGAGAGAAAAAACGATGTCGTCTTTCCAGTCCAGTTAGAAATTCACGAGGCCGCTCTAAACGAAGTCATGACATTCTAGCTGTACTAATGGTAGAATCTGCCTCGGAGGATTCAAGAATACCGAGCAATCCATTGTGTTCACTTGTGCGAGCTTTGCCAATCTATCTGCAATCAATTTGTTTTCCCTGGGGTTGTGTCTTATCTGCACGATCGATTCCTTCCGTAGCAGTTCATCGATTACATTTAACAGCATGAATGAGTGTTCGCGGTTTGGTCTGTTTTGTAGTAGCTGAGTCACTTCATAATTGTCGACTTCCAAGACAATACTCCTCTCTCCCAGTTTCCATGCTTGTTGGAGACCTATGACGATCCCCCATAACTCTGCCTCAATGACGGAACAAATGCCTATGTATTTCGCGAATCCCACTATTTTGTGCATAATATGTTATTTCATTTTCAAAAATTATATAGGAATGAAATCCAAATCCAAAATTCCGAGTTCATTGTTTTCTTTTAGAAACTGTACCTGAGTTTATGATTTTCCCTTTTAGTTTGGTCATTCAATAATGGTTGGTTTCCATATATAGGTTGTAACTTGTAGAAAAAGTTTAAGCAACTGTATGAATGAAACGTACAAAGTTTTCAAATTTTGTTTATTCAATCTTTTGGAAATTTGTGCATCGCAGGAAGTTGGAGGCAACCATGCTCAAAGTGTTGGATTTTTGACAGATGGGTTCGATACCACGCCTACCATGAGAAAATTGCATCTCATATGGGTGACTGCACCTATGCACGTTGAAGTACCCTGCTTGCTGCGCATGTGGACCTTTATTTTTCGACATTCATTCGAGTTTTCCATTTCTAATTCATATTGGTCTTTTGTCTGCATATTAGAAGATTTATAACATGAAAGGGCTGGAGGGTACTGGAACTATGAGTATTTACATCTATGTTATAACTTATTGTCTGGTTTTTTTATCCAGCAACACCTTCTGTTCTTGCCTTGCGTCTTATACTCCCGTGTCGATTTGAGGTCTCTATCATGAATGCCATTGCGAATTTTGTTTTCGTTTGTACTATTTCTTTTCTATATTAATTGTGCTGATCGGAATGATCATGTGCTTACATATTTCTTGACATTAGTTGTTCTGTTGTGGAAGCTAATTCATCTACTACGATTTCAGCAAGTGGGTGATGATGAACCAGGACACTAGGCCGCTGCAGAAGGTTAGTGATGATCTCAAGGAAGAATGTCTTATCTTCTGTCCACCGGAAACTTCGGAGGTGTTTCACCTTCCGGCATTATTTACTTGATATGTTGTTTCTAATTGACCTTCTCGTTGCATTTATAGATTAGCATTTCCGGAGGAGAACAGTAAGAGTTAAAAAAACAAAACAAAAAAATTGCCAAGTTTGAATATCCTGTTCAGTATTCCAGGCTAGGGCTGAAAGTAAGCTTATCCGCTTCATCCGATACGTGCAGATATTCATTGTAGTTCTTATGAGATTTTAATATTTGCAGCCAAGACGAGGTGATCTTGATATAAACCAGCATGTCAATAATGTCACCTACATCGGATGGGCTCTGGAGGTCAGTAAAATGACATTTTTCTTTCTCTAGACTTTTAATGTCCAAAACTTGGTTGGTTTCATAAATTCATGTCTGTACGGCAGAGCATGCCTGAAGAGATCATTGACACGCATGAACTGCAAACAATCACAGTACGATGTGGTTGACTCGCTTACCAGTCCGGAACTAGTGGAGGGTACAGAAATAGGTTCAGAGCTTCATGGAACAAATAAGTCCGCAATTGCAACTACAAGAGAAGACCAACCAGACTGTCGTCAGTTTTTGCATCACTTGAGATTTTCTGGTAATGGGCAGGAAATAAACCTAGGTCGTACCGAGTGGAGAAAGAAAGCCTCAAACTCATTCGAAGCACAAAGTTATGGTGTGTTATTGCCCTACTACAGCCTGTTGCAGAAGCAGATGATGATCATATTTTTCTGTATCACAATCTTGTATCACGATATACATTTTATTTGTAACATTAGGTATATATAATACGTATTTCACATTAAATTCATGTTTAAACATCGAATAAAGTCGACTAATCAAACTAAACCGAAAACAGAAGATCTGATTGCTAGACAAGCCTTCTTGCTTCTCACATTAAATAGAATACAATTTTTATCATCAAAGAAAACGAGCATGTAAGTAGTGTTGATAAACCGCAGCTTGACAGAAATTACTCTATTTCTTCGAAGGAGCCCTTCAATGTATTTACAATATTCCACACAGATATTGAATCCATGAATTCAGTCTCTCATTTCCTACACCATGAAATGCAGCAGCTCTGGAGGGGGGGGGGGAAGAGAAGCAGGAAATGTACATAATCAGGAATTCATATAAGATCCGTAGAAACCACCGTAATAACAACTGCAGTTCTTGGACAGGTTCCCGAAAAACATACCTTAGCATTGCTGTTGGCCGGCTTCCTGTTCCGAGCAGTGCGGTATGGAGATTGCTCACCAGGCGTGCCTGGTGCCCTACCCCCAGTTTTCCTCTCTTCTCGCACCTTGTTGAATATGTGAGTATAACCATCGGCTGATGCCGGGTTATTCTCATCCCAGTCACCAAATTTCGGAACAGCAGCACCTTCATCAGGCTGTCGTATCAGATATCAGATTGTTAGCAACAAGTTCTAAGTTAATAACAAGCTTTGAATAAAGTGGAACTCACTTATGTTCAAGTTTATTCTATTTATGATCAAATGAAATAACACAAGTAGAATTTACACTTTCATCGCCTCGAGTACTTGGCCTCATTCTGGACCTTGTAGGAGTGCCATGGCTACTATCATAAGAATTCTTTCCCTCCCATGCAGGTGATGCCGTGTTACCTCTCCCAGCTGCCCGTGCATGGTGATGGAGAGGTGATCTATCTATGCTGTTTTCAGATCCAACCCTTGGTTTCGGGGATTCACGACCATAACGTGACGGTGTAGTGTCCCCAGAAGCTTTACGGTTGACATTGTCTTGACGTGCAGGAGAATCGGCACCTTCTTCTCTGCTCCTTCTAGCAGGTCTACGTCCTACCGGTTCATCCAGTTCCGATTTCGTTTTTGAAGCAGTGGGAGCTCTTGTTGGAGCTACATAATCACGATGCAAGTCGGGATTCTCTTGGGGATCGTTCGGATTTACAATCTTTCCACCGGTTCGACCCTGACGGGCCTTGTCGAAATAAGCTGTGTAGGGAACATTCTCATCACCATCCCAATTGCCAAACTTAGGTACATGAGATCGTTCCTAGAACAGAAACGCAAACAAAATTGAAAAAAATTGGTTATTAGATAAACCAGCAATCAAAATTCTCCTCAAAGAGATGGAATCCTTGCACGCATTATTGGATGATTAAAGTTTTGTTTGCATTATCAAACTAAAAAAACTACATTTTTAGCAGGCAAATCGATGCATAGTTTCGAAAATAAAAAAAAAAATACGCCCAGATCAGTCAAATAATATATGAAAGTTCATCAACCAATTATGAGCGATCAAAATAAAAGCTTAATAGATCATACAAACAAAAAAGAGTTAGCAATACAAAATCTCAATAGGTCATACAAAACTTAGTTTAACAGCTAACAATAAAAAACAAGCTTCAGCGTTGCTTAGCTTAGAAATAAGCAAAATGAAATTCCATAATCCTCAGCTAAATTTTTCTTGGGAAACAAACAGAATATAATGTATACTAAGCAAAACAAAGAAAGCAATACAAATAAAAACTTACTGCCATCAGCAAACTTGAGAAAGAAAACCCTGAATCCCCAGAAGAAAGACGAAAACGAAGCTTCCTTTTTTTATCAAACAATTGCAGAAAAAACCCAGATAAATAAAAATAACAACTTTTTATAAGAACTCTTCAACTAAAATTCAAAGATTGAAAGAGAAAGAGAGAGAGGTGGAGATGGAGATGGCTTTCATTGAGAAAAACAAGAGAAATTATAGATTATGAGAGAGAGAGAGAGAGATGGTTTATTAATCGGTGACACGCAATTGGTAAAGTTTGACCCTTAACTCTCTCTGTAAAAATCTCTGTTTCTTCTTTGCTTCAGATGTCTCTGTCAAAATCGCTGTTACGGTGTTAAATTTTGGGCTCCTTCCACGCCAATGCATCGACGTCTTTCTCCCCTGGAGTGCTATTATTGGGGAGTGGAAGGAATGATAATTGATGCTGGAAGTAGCAGTCTTATGAAGGCTTTGCTGGCCAACTTTTAAAAGAATCGTATATTTAACGCCGGTTACTTCTATTGGCGGCTGACCTGTCAACTTATCCTGAGAGTTTCGCTGTCTTTCTCCCGCTTAATTATATTAATTTCTTTAATTGAACCAAAAACAATACATTTTTTTTCTGTTTGCCGGCTTCTGTTCTTTGTTTTAAACTACACTTGTATCTTTGTTTTAAACTACACTTGTAATTATAGCTATAAATAATAATTAAATAATTACCATAAAATTAATTAGGGTAAAATTCACATTTGATACCTAAACTATAGTTTTAGTTCATTTTAGTACCTAAACTTTCAATATTTTCAAAACCATACTAAGTTTTAGTTATTTTTTAAATTTATTACCCCACAGTTAAAACATTAACGCGTTTACTGCCTAAAAATTAGTTTTGACCCATTTTAGTGCCTAAACTTGCAATTTTTTAAAAAATTAACATTAAATTTTGAACATGATTATTAAAATGAAACAAAAACTAAACTTTAGGTATGGTTTTTGTAATCATCATTTTTCAACCAGAACCTAAAACCCAAAATAGACCCTAAACTGGGCCTCAAGCCCAACCCAGACATAACACCCAAATCAAAATATAATCGAGCCTCGAGCTCAAACCTCAAGCCCCATACCCAAAACCAAACCAAAGTAAAACCCAATCGAAGCCCCAAACCTAAGCATCAAACCCGACCTGGAACCCAAAAAAAACCTCGACCTAATCTACCCTAACCCCTACTGTAGTCGCCCTAAAAACCCCAATCAATTGGCACCTTCCTATGTCCCCCAATACCCCAAAAAACACTTCAGCACGCCACCGGCAGCCCCACTCCACGCAACATGCATCAAACAACAAGGAAGAAAACAAGACAAAATCATATCATTTTTATCTGTAAACGGATATAAAAACCTGAAGCAAAATCATGGAAAGCCTCTATGTTATTTTTCATTTTTTAGAAGCAATAAACATGAACTTTCAAAGTTACTTTTTTTTTCTCTTTTTTCTTTAACTTTGAGTAGTATTTTTCCATTTTCGAATATCAACGAAAAAAAAAGAATCATGTTTGAGTATTTTTTTTCTTTTCGAATAATAACATCGAATGTTTCATTTCAGTTTTGAATAACTAGTAAAATACAAAAAGGACACCTTTTAGTTTGAAATAAAATAACTCAATCCATTTTACGCAAAAAAAACTAAAAATAAAGAGAATAAAGAGAGAAGCTACCTTCAGACGAAACCTCATCGGCGACAGAAACTTCCGTTCGAAGATCCCAATGGTGAAACGACATAAGAAATAGTGGAGAACAACATACTCTGAAATTTATAATTTTACAAGATGGTCATGGCAGGGACCTTTTTATAATTTTCTCATTTCTGTTTATACTATGTGATTATTGGTAAAAAATTTGTTTAGTCCCCCTAACTTTAGTATGTTTTTACATTTCGGTCACTTGAAGGGACCAAAAATGTTATTTTCCCTTTTCTTTGTATGTTTTATTTTTTTGGTAAATTTACTTTCAGGTCCCTGTATCTTTAGCGTGATTTTACACTTTAATCACCAAATTTTATTTATTTTGATTTTGGCACTATGTTTCATTTTTTATTTAGTCATATGTTTTGATTATTACCATTTTGGACATTAGTTTTCAGGGTCAAATACCATTTAAATCCTCTGAACTTTGCTGTGTTTTTATATTTTAGTCCTTATGTGCATGTGTTGTTTATTTATTACGATTTTGACATCCTGTTGGATTTTATTTTAATTTAATCATCATTTCAGGTTATGGTTTATTAGCAGTTAGTCGCTGTTTTTTCTTCATTTCATTTTAGTCATTAATCAATTTTATTTTCTTTATTTATTCATGATTTTGATGTTATATTTTCAATTTATGCATTGTGGTTCTTTTGCTTTATGCTTTAATTTCGGCTTTGTATTTTTAATTTATTTCAATTTAATCCATATATACTTTGTTTTTTTTATTATTTATTTTTACATGTTTATTGTTTATTTTAAATTTGTTATTTTAGTTTTATTTAGTTAGTTTTTTATAATTTGTTTGTAATTGGATTTGTAAATCGAACATGATCAAGAAATTAGGACAATACATTAATTATTAATTAGGGAGCAATTCGAGTCGAGTTTTCATATAAGATGTTCGATTACTCGAATCGATCGGTCGACTCTTTTTAAAATTTATTAATAATTTATATTTTCTAAAATATAAACTTTAGGTTTAATTCCCTTTTAATAGACTAATTTATATAATAATTAGGTTCTGTTGAAAACATTTTTGTATTTCAATATAACAAATTAGTTTAAATGAATTTTAAGATTTTACAAATGATTTTCTAAATATATTCGATTCAATTAATCGAATATGAAATTATTACTCCAAGTCTTTTTAAGATAAATTTCAAACCTTACTAAATGTGTAAAATTGTGTTTTATACTTAATATATTTTTGAAACAATTTTCACAAAGTATTTTGAACCAAAATCAAGCCTAAAATCAATTTTTCAGAGTGATGCACCGATGCACCAATCTATGCATCGATACACCATGAATTAAATTGAACATCGAATGCATTTCATGCATCAATGCACATACCATGCACCGATGCACTGAGGATATTATGAAAACATCGAATGCATTTGATGCAACGATGCACCAGTCATGCATCGACGCACTTTGGCTATTTTGAAACATCGAATACACTTGATGCATCAATGCACTCTTAGTGCACCGATGCACTAAGGGTCCAACGGTCAAAATATTTGAATTTTACACTGATGCGCCGATGCACCATGGGTATGCATCGATGCACTGACGCTCCCAACTGCTTTAATTAATTGTTTTCACACTTAAACGACACTATTGACTCCACTAATCATCCCCAAAATTCAGAAGTAATTCACGGTGTATTTAAACAAGCTTAGAAGCCACTGATCAATAACAAGAAACATCAAGCAACTAGAATCAAGAGAGAATCAAAGAGAAAAGCATCAAACCTCAAGTTTGAGCATTTCAAGCCTATTTTTCATTCAATATTCATTTTTGCTTTCAATAATACTTATCGTGCTCAATTGTATTTATTCTTGAGTGTTCTTTGTTTGTTCTAGAATTGTGCAAACATATTTGCCTTGTGAGGTTTTTCTTGTGAGTTTGTAAATTTGTAATCTTCTCTTTGAGAAAAGAGTGTTCTCAAGAATTGGGGTATATTCTTGAGGGAGTTGTAAGGTTATCTCTTTGGCCTCAAAAGAAAGAACAAATTAGTGAATTTATTGGAAAATCTTTAGTGTGGATAGCTAAGGTAGTAACGTAGACTTTGGTTGATAAAGTCGAACCACTCTAAATCGCTGTGCAATTACTTTCAAATTTCTGCAAAAACTTCCACAAAATTTTAATTGCCAATTAACCCCCTATTGGCCGATTCCGTCAATCGATTAACCCAACAATTGGTATCAGAGCCTAACTCATTTGAAGGTTTAATCGCCTCTTGAGTCAATTCGGGAAGAGTTACATCGATAATCAAAGTCATCAATGGCCTCTACTTCAAACTTCGACTCCGGTCTCGATTCGATGCCCGTCAACAAGCCTCTTTTCTTCAATGGGGCTAACTATGCCTATTAGAAAAATAGGATGATGTACTTCATTCAAGCAAGTGATATGGGAGCATGGAATGTCGTAGAAGAAGGATACATCAAGCCTCTCACTCATCCAAGATTGTGGAGTGAAGGAGAGACAAAAATTTTCCAGCTCAACTCCAAAGACATCCATATCATATTTTGTGCTCTTGGACCAGATGAATACGGAAGAGTTTCATCTTGTACAATTGCCAAAGAAATATGGGACAAACTTCAAGTTACTCATGAAGGTACCGATGAGGTAAAGAAATCTAAAATTAGTATTCTAACGCATAGCTATGAAAATTTCAGGATGAAACCAAATGAAGATATCAAAGCTATGACGGATAGATTCTCAACGATTGTCAATGGTCTCAAATCATATGGAGAGATCATTTCAAATGAAAAGCTTGTGAGGAAGTTAGTTTACTCCATTCCAAAATCATGGCAATCAAAGAATACTGCAATCATCGAGTCTAAGGACCTAACGTCCTTAACTCTTGAAGAACTAATCGGTTCACTCCTCACTAATAAAATGATGCTTGAAGATGAGGTGGACCTCGATAAGATTGAAGAGAGACCAAAGGAGAAGGAGAAGAAGAAAAACATTGGAGTTGCTCTCAAATCCACAAAAGATGAGAGTGGTTCGGGTGAAGATGACGATGACGAGAAAATGGCATTGTTTGCCAAACGGTTCAGAAAAATGATGAGACCTTATCGAGGAAGAAAATTCAAACGAAATGAAGGCCTAAAAATGAACCAAAAGAGAAGGACCCAATCATTTGCTATGAATACAAAAAGTCAGGGCATGTCAAATATGATTGCCTATAATTGAAGAGAAAGGGTTAATCAAAGAATAAGCACAAGGCTCATGTGGCTACATGGAGCGATGAAGAAGGTTCCGATGAAGAGGAACAAGAAGTAGCAAACTTGTTCTTGATGGCATTCGGGGAAGATTCTAAGGTAACCTCTAACTCATCTGATTTTGATGATTTATCTTATGATGAGTTATTAGAGGAATATAATGGGTTGGCTTCGGATTATGAGAAATTATTTTTAAAATATAAAAATGATATTTCAAAATTGAAAAATGAAAATAAACTCATAT